AATTATCTTCCTAACGTGGATAGGTAGGACAAGGTCAAATGGATCCTCAATAGTAATGGCATCTACACTGCAGAATCAGCACTGGAAAAATTGAGGAATAAACAACTTGAAGTTAGTTGGCATGACATTGTCTGGTTTAGTCGCAATATTCCCAGGACTAGCTTCATTCTATGGCTAGCAATCAAGAAGAGGTCGGCAACTAAGGATAGAATTCAGAGTTATTCTCCCAATACTAGTACAACGTGTGTATTATGTAGGGAGAGACCTGAATTTCACCTTCACCTATACTTTGAATGCTCTTTCTCAAGAAAAATTTGGGAATTTATATCTTCCAAATGCTATATGCAATTCTTAAGGCTTCCATGGCAATAATTGATACAACATTATACAAATGATTGGAAAGGAAAAGCTCTCATCAACTCAGTTTGGAAACTGTGCTTGACAACTACATTTTATGTTATCTGGAGGGAAAGGAACCAAAGAATTTTTAACAATGAATTTAGGGATCCTATACATATCCAGAAAAACATCCTCACCACTGTAAGATGCAAACTTTTCTCACTTAAATTCAAGAACACCCCCCGCAATAGGGAACTAGCCCTTGATTGGAGGCTACCTAGCTCTTGTTTTGGTACATGAGGATGAAGTTGTTCTTTTTCAATTATGTAATTAATCTGTGAATGTTACTGTCACTTAAACAACACCTTTTCTAGATTTATTTTTCTCTTTTGATCATCTCATGTTGAGATATGTAGGCTGTTGTAGCTTGATTTTAACACTGCACCTTTTAGTTTGTTATAAAACTCATTCGTTTACCCAAAAAAAAAACAGAAGATATGCTCTCTCTCTCTCTCTCTCTGTGCAATGTCAACTGTATTATTAACCATAATCTCCAGCTCAGAACACTGTTCTTGCTAAATAGAACTACAATAATCACGGTTTCATCTCGTTCAAAACATCATATGACCTAGACAACTTAAGAAACCCTAATTATAATACACCTTTCGTTGTCTATGTACATAAAATAAAATAAAATATACCAATGATCCCGAAACCTACCTAATGTAAGGGGCCCAGGAACAGACAGCTATATGTATTGCCATAACTACTGCTACCACCTTAGCAATCACTATCAACCATGTCCATGGAAGTGCATTTGGTCAGAGTTGGACAAAATTTTCTGTGATGCCTGATGGAAATCAAGATTCAACTGCGTTGTGTGGTTACTTTGATGATCAATTGATCTGGTCCAAACGGTTTGTTAGCTGTGATAGATTAAGCTAATTTCTTTATAATAGTAGTACCATCAAACATGTCAGCGGACTTCAAATTTGTACAGATATGTAGACATATTCCATATCATCATATGCTGCATATAGTACAGTCAACAAATATTTAATGCAAGTCTTTGATTAATAATTTCACCAAACCTTACTTAACTTAATTAATCTCAAACCACCCCCTCCTCTCTACCTAATCAGCATCACCATTGATCAGCCCAATACTGACTAGCAGTTTCATATTTCATGGGAAAAATCCTTTGTTAGGATAGTGCTTTAAAACTAATGCACTAATCTATGTAGTACTGAAAGTAAGTGTCACTGTGTGTTCATTAGATCTGCAATAATTCCCCTGTGTGTTCATTAGATCTGCACTAATTCCCCCACAAATAAGAGAAGCCAGAGATTTTGACATGACGAATTGGGACGAAAGGACATGCACGCACGTGCACACACACACACACGGAGCTTGTTGGTCTACTAATGCATATAGTTTATGTACGGCAAGCATGTGATATGATCAATCCTCTCTCACCACTTTATAGTTGTTTAATTGTGTTTGTACAAGTGCAATGTTCCTAATGCTTTTGTGAACATCTCAATATGAGGTTGGTGGCTGCCCACTAAAAAGCTTCATGGGAGGCTCATATTATATATATCCTAGAATGTCTCCATCAGGGATAGGCAATCACATTCTATTGAAGTCACTGAACTAAAGAACTTAAAGCTCTTAGAATGCCACTTAACAACTTCTATCAAGAATCTATGGGCACCACCATATGCTTTTTCTCTAGTCTCAAAGCTAGAAAAATTAGTATTTCTTCATATATTCAATGTCTAAGTAGTAATATAAGCAACATTACCTTGCTCATATATATATATATATATATATATATATATATATATCCCCAAAAGGGAAAGGGAGGTTATTTCATTCTAGGTGCAAACAGAGGAGAGGGGCTAGGCAGATGGGGACTAGTTTGATATTAGACGAAAGTCTTTTTACTGTTATTGTCTCTCCCTTGGACTCTTATCACAAATTGGATTTAAATCAATGTCAAGCTACTTTTAGTGGATCATAAGTGAGTCTGTCAATATATAGTATCAACGCTGATAACAAACTGAAACTTTTATTTCCTTATTCTCAAATTCAACCTAAAGCAAAAAAAAAATGTGTAGTTATGTCAATTGCAATCGAGCATGATGCAGTTTAACACTTGTTGAGCTACTTATAAGATCAAATAGTAGAACATTTTGAGGTAATTACAGTTAATGCTACATGGTGTTTTACTTTGGCAACACAAGTATAGCCCTCTACTTATTAGCAGGAAGCTCTCAACATTTCACAAAGCAGCCAAGTTTGTTTTATTTGCTGCTTCTGTAGTTAATATTATTTTCGCTGTCTCATAACCTCCCACCACTTTTACAGAAAACCCTAAACAATAGAATGACCTCAACAAATTTTTGGAAAGTTTACAAGCATATTTGTTAAAGCTATTTTCTTAGAGAATTTGTTTCATCGAAGTGCAGCACGAATCTCATCGAATGCAAAAATGGCCAGTTTCCGTCATATGTATAGTACATAAATGAAATATTTCTAGTAGGAGAATAAAGTGAGAATAAGTTACATCCTTGCAATATATAACTGCATAAAATGATAAGAGAATGTTGAGGATATCTTTCATTAATCTGTAGAGAAGGACACAGACGCTACAATTTCAAAAGATTCTAATAGAACAGGATATATATTGCTATGAAGATCACTAAAAGATGGATATTTATTGTTCTATCAATTTGATGCAAGGTGCATAAGGAAATGCTTTCAAACCAATCTGCGACCCATCTAACACCCCCCGGAAAATAAATAAATATTTTGACTTCTAGAGCGTAGAACTACTCCTCGACTGAGATTCATGGCGATGTTTGTATGAAACCAAGTGTGGGAAAACATCGTGATGTGCTATCTTAAGGCATAAAAGTAAATTAAAGAAGGGTTGGTAATTACAATGGCAATTACACAGAAGCAATCCTATGATTCAATTAATTTATCATCTCAAGAAAACTCAATCGTCGTGTGCTTTATAAAACCAATTCCCATGTACGAAACACCATACAGTAATCAAATGAGTTTGTCTAATCTTAAGAACTAAGAGTGTTACTATTTTACTCACTACTTTAATATTGAAGTAGAAATACATTGACTCGGAAAATATATTTAAATTGATAGCTTATCCGTATAGAGGAGTATTTTAGAATGAAAAACTGCATATATAAAACTACTTTTGGAGATGAAACTACAACAAAGAAAGGATAGAGAACTACTTTGTATACTCAGATCCAAGCTTCCTTGTCAGCCGAAAAAAATAATAAGGATATCCAGGAAATTGAGTAATTCATATCCTTAAGATCACCTTCATAAAAACCTATTATAAAACCGTGATCTATTCACTTCTCTCCAAGTGTGTTAAATCTCTCAAGAGAATTATAGCGGATACTCAAAAATGTTAGGGTAAGACTTGCAGCTTTTTACTGCCCTCATCCCCTTCAAAGGGCATCATTCTAATAGGTTTGTGGAATTAAATCCGAGTGGATGACATGAAACAACATTGGAAGTTCAAACGCCTCCAACATATATAGCTGGTACCTTAGCTCAATAAGTTGGATCACATGTCTTACAATCAAGTATATTACATATACTATCTTCTCAAATTTTGTAAAATCAAACTCCAGCTGATAATGTTCTCATAAACACCAATTTCTTTAGCTTTTCCATGCTCGTTTTTATTTTTATTTTTTTAATTTTCACAAATTGCTCGGGTTTATTGTTTTCTCTTACCGCAAAAACTTATTATATGCAGAGAGTAAAGATATTTGATATATAGTTTGAACTGTTCAAAATACATATATATACATATGTATGGTTGAAGCATTACTATGGACATTTGACAATTGGTTTCAGCTCAACTAGTTCTTCTTAAACAAACTTAGCAGAGGGGAGGAAGCATGATTTTCAGTAGGAAACTATATGAATACATTCTTAAAAAGAAATATATCAAGAATTCTGCTAAAACATTAATGTGACTTACGTTGGTAAGGCCCCAACTCGACCTCATCCTACCAGAATCCCACTTGGCTTTTCTATATTGATGACTACATTAATTATTTCCTGAAAACAATGTAACAAAAAGAAAGAACTCGCAACCCCCATTTAAATTCTTACCAAGGAACACTTTTTGAAGTTGTCATCAATGTCAAAACACAAATTGAGACATGATTTATTGAACTAAAAATTCTTGTAATAAAGAGTAGAGTGAGCCTATCGTTTAGTCTAAAAGTTAGAGCTAGTTCATCAATTTATGGTACCTAAGAGTATCCCGGTTTCTAGATATGGAGAAAACAAAGTTGAATTCTCAAACCATTTCGTTACAAAGAAAAAAGTTCCATGAAAAACATTAACAAGACTATTTCCAGAAATTAAAGTTACACAAACCCAAGAAGAAAGAAGAAAACTCCAAAAACAACAGGAGAGAAGACAGAAGAGAACCATGATAATGATGATGAAGAAGATGGTGCAATGATTTTCTGACCTTTACGATTAAACAACCCTATCTCATTCGATCCAATCGGCTTCAACAGAGCAAGAATTTCTTTTGATTCTTTCCCACCAGTCCAGATATTGGGAGGAGTAGACATAAAATCAACCATTTCACAATTTCTATGTCAGAATGGAGGGCGACCAACTGAGTTTCCCACCCACCCATCAACTGGTAACTGAGAATTAGGCATATTGAGAGGCAAATTGAAGAATGGAAGTCCAGAAGATGGATCAGGAAATGGGTGGTGGCCAACACCTCCGCCACCAGTGACACCACCGGAAGCCTGTGATACTGGCGGCTGAATCTGAAGAGGCTCCTCATCATCCAAGGGCAACCTCTCATATGCAACATTTGTGAACGATGCTGCGATCACAATAACCGGTCCCGCAGCAATCAACTCTCCCACCACGCTGCCTCCGACGACCTGGCCTTGTCCACCAGCCAAGAATATAGTCAAGCTTGTCGCACCAGGCGGTGCAGGTGGTGGCAAAAAAGATCCGGTGAGCGATAGTATCTCGAACCTTCCATGTAGTGTGACTACGGCACCAGCGGCGGCTGGTTGCCGGAGACTCACGTTGGTCACCGTGCCGCTACCACTCAATATGCAGATCCCCCGCTGTCGCCGCCGTGCATAGGTGGCTACACAGTCAAAGACATCACAGCCATTGCCAACCTCCAAGATATGAGCCCTGAGCGTATTTGCACTCTCTCTTGTGATAATTACAGGTGGTTTAGGCTTGTTCTTCGACCCGGGTGGTCGGCCTCTAGGCCTCCGACCAACAATATCGCCGTGACCAGAGTTTCCGGCCACCAGTTCAAGCCCTTGACGGCCACTTTCATCGGAAAACTGATTCCTGTTGTTATCATCTTCGTCTTCAGGATGTCTCTGAAGGTGCAAGTCAGGACGGTGGAGCTGATGACCAAAACGAGAAGCAGTGCCTAAATCCAAACCAGCCATGGCCACAATATCAAAAGATAAACATCACACAAGCAACAGAAACCAAGAAAATCATAAAAAATGAAACCAAATTAAAAACTGTTTTTGCTTTGTTTATTTTATGTAGTGGGGAAATGAAAAAGATAAGAAAAAAATAGAAAAAAAATAGATCTCCGGAACTCGAACACTAGATTTGAATAGAGATTAGAAAACAACTAGTGAAGATTTGAGTGCAGAGAAAGAGAAGGGAAGGAGAAGGAGGAGTGAGAGGGGGACAAAGACTCGAATGCAGTCTTTTCCCTTACCAAAAAGTTTAAATATAGGTATAAAAAGTATAAAGGTGGAAAAATATTAATTTATTTTACATATTTTATCTTATGAAATATGAGTCGAGTTAAAGTCTAACACATTATTATTTCTAAAGCGCGTGAAAGAATTAGAATTTTACAATGGAATGTGTTTGAGGAGAACACGATCCTTCTTACAACAGCTTGTAAAGTAGATCGTATTGTTAAAGCTAGATTAATTTATACTATGAAGATATTTAAGTTAAGTTTATCGATAAAGCTTGTTGATCAAATCTATGTTATCATTGGATTCATGTAGAAGCTCCTCTAATATAAAGTTTTATTATTAATCCAACGATAATAATAAATTTTCAAGTATTTTCTAAAGACAATGATCCCATTGCTCGAGTTTGATTTTGATTGTGTGCCTATAAGTTTTTGGGTGCCCTTCACTTGCAAGACAATTTTCAATATTAAGTTCTAGCATGAATTCATTAGATGGGGGTATCAAAACTAGTCCATGTTGTCAATTCAAGAGATGATCGATAGATTTCTCGACCGTAGAAGCATGGTAATAGATTACGATTTCACTAATCAATTAGGGCTTTCCCTCTGTGTGAATTGAATTTTTAACACTTTTTTTCTAAGTTGATTTATAAGGAGGAATTTTCTGCCTATAAATCCATATCATATTATGAGCTCAAAACGAAGTTTACAAGCAGTACCATAGTAAAATGCAACTGGGTGGAAGATTTAATAGTTGTAGGTTTTGAGTGGGGAGGCCTAAAGTGGAAAGTCAATTGCAAAATGGGAATTGGGAGTTGCTTAATAAGGTAAGATGGAAGAACCGGAAAGTTAATCGTTATGAGTTTGAATTTTAAAAACTCTTTTAAATCAAGTTACAAGGAATTTATTTATAATGAATACTGTAGTTTCGATATAGATGATTTATTTTTGAACAAACTAAAAAAAAAATTAATCGAGATACACATAAATTGACTCAGATACCTTTAATCATTAAACTAAAAAAAATTGTAAAATAGGACTAAGGTGACGTGTGGGAATCATGGTAATTTATGTTGTAGATATCTTATGATATAAAAATAAATAAATTAATAGACGTTTTGGTCCAATGATGTTCTTTATATTATAAAATTTTATTTTCTTGAATTTTAGGGTTTAAATACCCCTCCCCATCCCCTAAAATATATATATAAATTTGTGGGTGGGGTTTGGTGACGGTTTCTGATCTTGTGGTGGGGGTTTCGACTAACCATGGTTAGGTGGGGCTAAGTTGACCAGGTTGTCTTGTTGAGCAGAAACGTAAGGGAGCGGCTGACAATTTTTTTATTGGAAAAACAACGGGAAGAAATAGCCAAGTGAGTGGATGGTGCTACGGCGGATGGGGCCGCCTTTGTCGTCTCTCTCCCACCCTCCATTGCAATAATATAATCAGACATCTCAACAATGATGTAATATTATAATTTAATAATAAAAATTAATTCATAAGTAATTGGGTAATTAATAAAATTCACTGATTCAATGTGATAGTTACTAAACGCGGTAGTTTTAGATAGGTATTTTAATTAATAGTCTATTAGTTTTATTTAATGATATCATATATTAATAATGCTATGATATAATCGTTAAATTAAATATTCACGTCGGTTCCCTTCTCCCTCCCTCTTGGTCCACCTTGCTAGATTGGCATGACTGTTTAATGACTACCCTTAATTATATTGTCGTGTGTTTGTTGCAATTAGAACGTAATTTCTTACCAATTTATAGAGTACATTTTTTTTTTTGTTTGTTGGGGGAGGGAGGGGGTAAGAACTCCTTGAAAACTAAAGGGAAGAAGGGATATGGAATTCCACCATGCCGAGATGGATGGAATGAGAGGAGACTCGTGGGCCATTTTTGAATTCTCGTCAAAGAATAATTAGTCATATTTCAATTTTGGGGAGAGAAGAACTCCTCGAATAACTGAAGGAAAGGAATATGAGATTCTAACATGTCGAGATAAAAGGAATGAGAGAAGACCCGTGTACCATTTTCGAATTCTCGTCAAAAATAACTAATCATATTTCAATTCAGGCTGTGGGGGACGAATCCGTCAAAAAACTGAAGGGAAGAAATATGGGATTTCAACATGCTGAGATTAAAAGAATCAGAGGAGACTCATGGCCTTTTTCGAATTCTAGAATAGCTAATCATATTTCAATTCAGGAGAGCGAAAAATATTTACTTGGCATGTGGCTCAATTCACAACACTCTAGCTGTATGGGACGTGGCTTTTAACGAGTGTCATCTCATTTTAGAGAATCTATAATGTTATGATATTTATATAATAAAGTAATTTATAATTTAAATTTTAAAAGATAAATAAAATAATTTTTGTTATTCGCGGTAGAGATCGTTTTAAAGTTTATTTTAAATTTAATCTAACGGTTTATATTAACACCCTAAATTTAACAGGAAAAATAGACTCATAAGAGTGTGTTTGAAGTGATTTTTTAAAATTACTTTTAAAAATTATTTATGAGAAATAATTTTTTTAAAAAATAGTGTTTGAAACCGCCCCGCTACTACCACCATCGCCACCACCACCGCCGTCACCATTACCGCAGCCAACGTCGTCGCCACCACCACCCCCACCGCCCCCATCGCCTCTATCATCTCCACCGCCAGCGCCATCTCCACCACCAATGCCGCCACTACCGTTACCGTCACCACCACTACCACCACTGTCATTGTTGCCACCACCCACCCAACCGCCATCACCAACCGCCACCACCGTATTGGTGTGATAGCATTTCAGGTATTGGTGTGATTAGTAAGTATGAATCTCATTTAAAACATTTACATGGAAACTTTGTCCCATTTGTTTGGATTAAGGAAAGGATTGATTGCAACAAATATGATTCCAAGCTGATGTTTATGTTTAGTTTCCACAAGATTCTAAAATAATAGAATACAGACATTACTGTTTGAAATCAAAAATAAAATAAAATTTTGATTTGACAAGTTGGAGGAGATGTTGCATGGGTCTTTTTTTTTCTTCTTATTTCCTTATTTTTATCCCGAAACTATGAACTTGAAAAATTATCATTTATATTCCATGTCAAATGTTAGTTTTGTATTTAATCTATCTCTCCTAATTAACGACATCGCTTTTTGGAAGCGGAATTGTATTATATTATGTTTAGGATTTTATTTTGTAAAGTTTTATGTCAAAATTACCAACATAGGGAAGCTATGTCTGCTGTGAGTTTTACTACAATTGCCGACTTTGAATTCTTCTTGGCCGGAAGTCACAACCCCAGAAGTCAAAAGTTTAAACCCATCAAGTAAAGAATGGTGTAATTTCTCCCATGGGGTGCTAGATTGGACTTGACTACGACTTCACCAAATCCATATACAATATATGTTTGAGCACCCGTAAACGACTTTGGTATGCCAATGATTTATTTTTTTTGACGATCAATAATATTTATGTGTATTTTAATTAATTTTCTCTTTAATCTGATCAAAAATAAGTTATTCATGTTAAGACTAGAATAAGTATTCTTGAAAGATAAATTCTTCATAATCTAATCCCCAAAAATTGTCAAATTCAAATTTATAACACTTGAATTTACACCAATAATTAACTCGGGCATGAAAGTAAGCAATTTTTATTTAAAAACCACAAAAATATTAAGTCATTACGGAGGGGTAAAACATTTTAACATTGAAAATCTATAGATAAATTTATAATCTTCAATGCCCCGGTAAGGGAAAAAAAAAAAGGTATCGAATAAAGCCCTTTATTTCATAAAACTTTTGAGATTTCTTTATCATAACATTATGTAAATCTTAAAGGGTTAAAAAAAAACACTGCATAAGATCTTGGTCAAATAATAGATCAATTCCAAGTATTTCACCTGGAAGCTATACTGTCAAACACGGAAGACAACTTAAAAATATGGCAGCTAATTCGCATGACAAAAAAACTAAGTTTTATTCCATCTCTTGCATCATCAAATCGTTCCTATATGAGATGTTTTTAAAGACTGTTGTTCAACAGCTTACAATTGACAACAACACAAGATTATACTAAAAAATTGATCATTTCTCTATTTCGGTGCTCTATCTTCTTCTTCTTTCTTTCTTTTTTTTGCTATTGGTGCTCTATCTTGTGCACCTTGATAGACTTGTGGTTCTCTTCGGTTTTACATCACCAATAAAATAAGAATGTGAACAATCACTTAATTTGTCACAATAGTTTTTTTGAAAAGGTTCACTTTTGTGTCCTAGAAGTTAGTTGTATAGTAACTTTTTATTAGTTGTACGCATCACAAGAACGTTGTATGGTGCATTAAATCCATACAAAATTTTCTTCTTTCGGTGAGCAATTCTCTTTATCTCTCTTTTGTTTTTTGGGTTCAAGAGTTAAGAGTGTTCAAGTCAATTTACGCATAATTCAACTAATTCTCTTCTCCAGTCTGACTAAAAATAAATCATCCACGTTAAAACTAAAATACTCATGAAAAATATATTCTTTACAACTCAATCTCAAATAATTGTCAAAATTCGAAAGACCCATTCTCTGTGCATAAGATATAGATTGATTGTAATTTATTTTTATATTGATACACTCATACATAAAATACAAATATATATTATAAAATTAAATTTTTTTCCAATGCTTTTCTTGGATTCAACACCTTTGTGTTTTTTTTATTATTACTTTGC